GTGTGTGTGTGTGTGTGTGTGTGTGTGTGTGTGTGTGTGTGTGTGTGTGTGTGTGTGTGTGTGTGTGTGTGAGTTGAGCCAACATCATGATGCCGCCCATCCCGTTACAGATAAACAGCTGCTGCCTGTCACGCACAGACTATAATTTCAGCTTCTACTATAACGTAGAAAAATATATTTATTACTTGTTTGCAGGGATTTCCCCCAACGTGTCACTTCCCTCTCACCGATCAACAGTAACTAGAGCCACTGCACTTTGTTAAGCATGCACAACATGCAGCTGATGAGTTCAGCTACATCAGGACAAAAAGTGTGTGTGTGTGTGTAGTGTGTACATTGACTGTTAATAACCTGGTTCCTCCGCAGCTCATCGTCCAGTCTTTGAAGATTCTGTTTCACTTCCTCCAGTCGAGAATCTAAACTGCTCGCGTCGCCCTGAGGAGTGTGTTCATACACACTTTTCATCTTCATCAGAGCCGTCCTGACACACACACACAGAGCATCACATAACTTTAATAGACAACCTCTTGTACAATACTGTACAATAAACCAGAATTAGCTGTGGTTGTTTTCAGCAGTTTTAGACAGAAAAGTAAAAAAAATTGAGCCCAACAGAACATTTGTGTAGTAATAAAATTACCAACACGTGTGTAATAAATGACAAGAAGACAAGAATATGAGGTCACTGTGACCTCGACCTTGACCAGTGAAATCAAATTAGTTAATTTCTGAGTCCAACAGAACGTTTGTGTCAGTTAAAACACAAAATGGGTTAGTGTGTTACCTCTGCTCTCTCTCTCTCTGAATCTCTTCGTTGATGTTGTTTATTTTGGTCTGAAGTTTTTTCCGGCGTTGCTCAGGAGAAAGGTGACTACAGTCTGCAGGACTGGAGCCCTGAAACAACGCAATCAACACAATGTTATACACGCACACACACGAGAGTAAAAACCATGTGGTAACACACCTGTGACAGGTGAGGTACTGACCAGTTTGAGTGACAGCTGTCCACAAGGAGCCAGAAGGAAAAAAGACAACATTAAAACGTGTGTGTGTGTATGTCTGTGTGTGTGCGTGTGTGTCTGTTTGAGACTGTACTGTACTGTATCTTTTAATCATAGACCTACAGAGTGAGGACATTTTGACTGGTCCTTACTTTTTCAATAGGCTGTTGAAGGGTTAAAATTAGGTTTGGGTTACGGTTAGATTCACTTAGGGTTA